CACTTGGACTGGGCACAGCCAAGGGTGCAATTGTTCGAGGCATCTTGGATGAACAGTGGAATTCTGCATTTTCGTAAACAAATTTGGCGACACACTGCACAAAATCGGTCCATACATTTAGAATAGAATAATACTACACTAACAACCATCTCTCACAATCCTGAAGCGGTAGCTCGCAATTGATTAATTTATAACGGGTCCCATATAGATCTCACTAACTAATTATGAATTGACCAATTGCGAATTATCATATCATGGTTGTAAGAGAAAGTTTATAAAAAATTATTGTTGGTGTAATATTACTCTTTAGAATAACACTTCTTATAGCACTTTTTGTCTATGTCGGCTTGCACTTGCGCGACATGTGCCACAAACACGAACATCACCATGACTGTAGTCAACAGCAGAAGCTTCCCCACACCATTTCTCGCCATATTGATTTCTCTCTGCGCGCGTTACTTAATATTGTTTTTCTTTCGGCTGAGGAAGAGATTGAACAAAGAGTTCATTGCATATATACTTATATAGGATTCTGAAGAGAGGTTCTGCATTAATGTTATGCTTATCTTTAGAGCTATATAGAAGACAATATTTACTCAGTTTTGCAAAAGTAAATGGCAAGTTTCAGTAATTGCATTCTGTTTCTGAACGTTTGACCTTTGAAGTTTTCTCTATAATGTATGTATGATTCAAGGCTTCTAATAGTACCAATTATAAGCACGTGCTATATATAAAAATATAGTTTATATAAAGTATTTTGTACATGTATAATTTTTGTTATATATAGAAGATGTTACGTACGTATACATTTTTTGTTCAAATATAGAATTTTTTGTTTTTGTATATATATAATATAAAGAGTGATGAGTGTAAATGCATGAAAAAAAAAAATTATTAATTGGGTGCTTATTTCTTGGCAATAAAGAAGGCAGTCTCATTTAGTTTTGCCTTTACTTTTTGAGCTAGTAAAGACAACTCTCACTAATTGCAGTCGGTTTAATGGTTTATTTTAACACAAAGAAAATTAATTTCTCTGATTATGTAATGAATGTGATTTAAGTTTATGAAATGTTGATGCAATGGAACCCTTTTGTGGAAGAATGAGTGAGATTTTATAATCTTATTAATTATACCATTAATATGATCATGATTTTTAATTATGTATATAGCATAGAGTTATTTACGTATAGAGAATTCTAAATTTTACACATTCCATGAAATTGAGTTTAATTCGATGTTAAGCTCCAATGGAGATGCTGGCTTTTTAAAATTGTTGATGTTTCGGTTCAGAGTTCTTGTAACTTTTCACACGCATTATAATTGTTGAAACTACAGCCAAACACACGCAATAAAATAAAACAGAAAAGTAAATAGGATAATTGATTTATCTTGGTTCGTTCCGATTAAGGAACTACGTCTAGCATTCAAATAAAGATTTTTGTATCAAGTTTTAGAGCTCTGTTGCATTTATAATCTATAAGACGACAACTCCCTCTCTTTATATATCTCAAACCCTTTGTTTCTCACTATCACATCATATAATAGAAAATCCTATCCCCTTTGGACCTACTCGAATCTAACCTGACCCAACCCAAACATTAGTAAAACAATAACAAGTCTAATTACTAATTAGACTTACCGTGAAGGGGGCAATGTCCTCTCACCCCCACTCGCTCACTAGCCAGCGTGACTACAACCCACTCACCGAGAAGTGGGACCCCCGAATGTATCTGTGTAGGGGACTTCAAGCCTATGCAAAGTATGACCCATATTCAACAATAATTATATTCTAAAGTTGTTCTAGTTTGTTATCTTATTCCAACTGTTGTTGCGATTTCTCGCACCAATTAGAAATACACAAGTTTCTTGGGGAACTTATGCAAGGATCTGTGGTAGATCAGTAATATGATGTTGAACCAATGAAAAAATTAATAATAATGCAAATAAATAAATGAAGAGTATATAAAAGGAAATTTTAAATTAGTTCAAATATAAAGCGCAAATCTTATGTCCATTATTATATTATTACTTTTTTGTGTGTATACAACGGTTATTTGTTCTCAAATGAAGTAATTGTTTTTAGTTTTATATAAATTGATATAATACAAAGTGAATGGACGAACTCAATTTCGTATACATAATAATTTATACATGGAGCACCGCTCTATTTTCTTATAAACTTATTGTAAACGAGGGAACTTTAAAGGTTCTCTTGATTAATGCTACAAGAATTGCACCAAATTGTATGCTCCCCACTAGTTTTCGTGCTGTTATATCAATTAACTATAATAATTTAGTATCAATATATAGTTTTTTCCTTCTTGTTCATGCATCAAATCATCAAAATCCAGCAATGAAAGTAAACAAGTCTAAAAACAATGATTTGTTGAAAATCCAAGGGAGAAAACAAATGGACAACTACCTCGGGATGGCCGAGTAGTTTGAACTTCAAATCGAAACTCTTTGGTATATTATTCAAGAGGTCTTGGGGTTGAATCCCTCCTTGATTGTTAATAGATGTAACCACTAGAGCTCTTACCTGACCGATAGTTTCAAAATCTCAACAGATTAGTTGAGATGTGCGTAAGCTGACCTGGACAACCCCTTCATTTAAAAAAAAAAAAAAAAAAAACAAATGGACTTCTATTCAAAAGTCCACTCTGTAGGTGGGCTTCCTAAAAGCCCACAAGCCCATTCATTGAGTCTATATGCATAAGGTTTAAATATCTCAGTATCGAAAACAAAGTCAATGATCCTAGAGGAGGGTAGCATGCAATATTCTGTAACTTTTATGTTAGTTGATTAAAAAGTGGACCACTTAAAGCTCATAAAAATATCCTTCTATCTCTTTATTAAGTTCCATGACCGAAATAGGTACAAAACAAGATAACGTTTAGTACCAATAAATTTGTTGCTGACTTATATTTAAGGTATGCCAAATTATGTAATAAGCAAGCAATATGAGCTCAAAAACATATAATATCAATAATAAACTGTTGCTAAGGTCAAGTATAAAATTGATTTTATTGTTAATTTGCGAACATCTCTTGCAAATCTTAGTCCAAATAAATTTTACATTTAATTTGGACATAAATTTTCTTAATTTAAACCAACCCTTGGGTGGCCGGCTTGGGAGTATTATTCAAGAAATTTAGAGTTTGATTCTTTTTGGTCTCTAATAGGGATGACTATTAGAGGATTATTTGTCCGTTAATTTTAAAACCTCGAAAGATTAGTTGAGGTATTCACACACTTATACAAACACTCTTGATTACTAAAAAGAAAAAAAAAAAAAAAAATTAATAACCCAAGTTCTCCGAAATATAAGTGTTCATAACTAGTAAGCTTATGCTAAATTTCAAAAGGTCTTTGACATAAATGGCAGCTTGTGTTTACATTATAATCCAAAACACTTAGGGCCTGCTTGGGAGTTTTATGGTAGCGGTTATGAGGGTAAACCATCGTAGCGGTTTTGAGGGGTTTTTAGTAACGGTTTTTAAAACACCTAACCTGTGCTTGGGAGTTTATTTTCCAACGGTTCTGACAGTTTTTTTAAATGATAAATTTACATATGTGCCCATAAAATTAAAACACTCTCTTTTGCTGACTCTATAGGTTTGGGTTACGCACACCTCCATATTACTTTTAAAACCTTTTTGATTTATGCAGCTGCAATAGTTCGGATGAAAGATTTTGAAGCTAATGTTTCATGCAGGGTTAGAGGCATCTACTGCTGTAATGGCTTGGAGAAGCAGGAATTCAAATCTGATTTAAAATTTTAGGTGTATTTTGATGGTATGACAGGTGTTAGAGATGATGAATGCACAACAGGGATGATTTAACAAAACTGACAAAAACAAACAGGTGACTATTTTTTTAGGATGTTAGAAAACTGTGGGAACAAAATATTCAAAACACCAGTCATCCTTGGAGAATTTTAGAATCACTGAAGAAAGAAAAATAAGGGAAAAACGAAGAACAAGAGAGAGCTAAAGAGTAAAGTATTTATAGGAAGCCCATTTAACAAAACTGACAAAAACAAAACAGACTAAACATATCAGTACCAACCCATATTACACACTCTTCTTATCATCTCCCTTTAAACAAATCTGCACCACACTTTATCAATACCACTCCATTATACACATTTTCTTTAACATCTCCACTTCACAAAACTGCACTACACTTATCAGTACCACTTCATTATACAAATTCTCTTTAAACATCTCCACTTACAAAATTGCACTACATTTATAAACTGCACTACACTTATCAGTACCACTTCATTATACAAATTCTCTTTAAACATCTCCACTTAGAAAACTGCACTACACTTATCAATAACCACCATTCTTCTTCACATCTCCCATTTAACAAAACTGAAAAAAACAAAACTGACTCCCATTAACTGAGTTGTGTGCAGCAAATTAAAAATATTCACTCACAAATTAAAACCATTCACTCACTTTGTAAGAGAGAGAAATCAACAGTAGCAAAAGATTTGTGCGCAGCAAAGGGATTATTATCATTTAGTGGAAAGGGATTTTTTGGGATAAAATTTTTAAACCAGCCAAAACACCCTAATTTGGGGTGTTTTATAAACCCCTTAAAATTACACTACACTGATTTTGAAGGGTTTTTAAACCAGTCAAAACCAGCCTATTAAAAAATCTGGCAAGTAAGAGTTTTTAAACATCTCAAAACCAGTCTAATTAAAAACCCTCCAAAACCAGTGAAAAAAAAACTCCCAAACAGACCCTTAGACTTGAGAGAGTATTAGAATGACAATGTAAAATGAAATTTGGGGTTCAGTTTGCCAGCATGGCAAGTACTCACTGCCACGTCACAACACATGAGTAGTAAAAAGACTGGCTAAAGCAAATCTTTTGTTTCATTAATTCCAGATCCACCAACAGTGTGTCGTTTTATCATATATCCACCCCGCACAAGATTCCCACCCACGCAGTGGCACTCTCGTATTTTTACTCCCGTAACTACAAAGCATTAAGCATCTCGCTCTTCATATTTACACACAAAGTTCTCTTCCTCATCTCTCTCTGGATCTAAATTAGTATCTACACCAACGGAACTTTGATCTCGATTCGACGTTAATCTCGTCGCAAATCTAATCTTCGAAAATGGTGAGTCGTTTGATCCGTTTGATTATCGTAAACGTTAGATCTGATAACTTCTCTCGTTCGATTTGATTTCAATGTTTACGTGTTATAGTAATTCAATGCTGTTTGAGTAGGCAACCGAGCGCGTCATTAAGTTTTTGAATTTTGAGTTGAGATCTGGTGTTTGATTGGATCTAATTGTGTCAAGGAAAGTGAAAGGAAGTTTGTCAATATTGTAGCTGGTTTTAGGCTTTTAAGCAATTGGATGAATGCTGAGTGGTTTGGATTATTCAGATGCTTTGTTCTAATACTCTCATTTCTTGTTTAATTGTATAAATTTTGGTCACTTGTTAAGTAATTGGATGGTGTTTTGTGTTTTGGATCTTGTAACTGTTAGCTGGCAATTGAATGGGAGGTTGGGGGTTTGAATTGAGTTGAGATCCGGTGTTTAATTGGATCTGTTGGTTTGTGCCTGTGTTTGGCTGCCGAGAAAATGGTGGAAAGTGAGGGTCAGTTTAGGAATATGGCAACTGGTTTTAGGCTTGACCTTTTTTTATGAGCTATTGAATTAGAAGTTTAGTAGCATGAATTAGTTGATTTGGTACTGATTTTTTGTTTCGTTTTGTTGTATGTTAACAGCCGCTCAGACTTGAAATCAAGGTACTGTCTTTCTTTTTCAGTTTAGATCTCTCTCTTGTATTTATTTATTTATTTAATAGCCCGTTTCAACTTTTTACGAAATTGTGGGAATAATTATGTTAAAATGATAATTGGACCAGAGAAAACTTGCTCAAAGATCAGAGAGAGTTAAGTCTGTGGATTTACATCCAACTGAACCATGGTAACTATAATCTTTATTTATGTAATGTTTGAATTGTTTGGCATTTGTAGCATTATGTGGTAGTGCATGGAGATTAACATAACTTATATGATTGTTACTTCAGGATTCTAGCGAGTTTGTATTCTGGAACTGTGTGTATTTGGAACTACCAGTCTCAGGTATGAAAATGCTACTCGTTGTGTTATTTTGAGTGCTTCTAGCATTGTATGGTAGATTGCTGCCGCTTGGTTATATAATGCATCTAAGCCTCTTATGAATTTTTTAGTTTTTCATTTGTTTTTAATTTATCTCTCTTTGTGAACCAATCTTGGATTTAACATTAAACCTTTGATTTTGAGTTTTGTTTAGTTATTAAGAGGTTTTTTCCTAGTATTCAGAGATAATCTAAATCTTTTTGCTATTGCTACAGACTATGGCTAAGTCATTTGAGGTCACTGAGTTGCCAGGTATACTCTAGATATGTACTCTATAAGTTAGTTTTATGTTTTTTCTTCTTCCTCCTCTTCTTTTTCCTCAATGAGGTCACGGCTGTCCTCTGATGCCTAAATAATGCAAATACAGTTAGGTCAGCAAAGTTTGTAGCACGNCTTAATAAAATAGGGCAACTGCTACTACAGAGCCACTGACGCTTACATCATATTCCAATATAACCCTACACACCTTAATAGCTCTATGATAATCCACAAAGCAATCTCGAAGATTATGTAATCAGATGGAGAGGACTGTATAACATGGAAAAAAATAGCAGTTCATATGAAATCTTAATTACATGCAGTTTAAGATTATAGCAACCACCCGTTTATATTCACCATTTAATCAAACTTTCTAGTTTTTGCATCCACTATTTTAACCTTAAATTTCACCAAAGAGATTAGAGTTAAAAACAGCAATAGTAATGAAGATGCAGATTTACTACAACTGGCACATAAAGATACCAATAGAGCACAAGCTGAGACCAATAAATGCATAGTCATCAGAGAAGGATAATAGATTGATCATAACATACTCAAAGCATTTTAAAATGTCACAAAATGTTGTTATTTCAGCATCATTCAAAGGAGACATTATTTTCATAAGCAGAAGTTAAAAAAGTATCAAATTTGCATGTGGTCAAGGAGAACTTGATTAGTAATCTTAGAGCCACAGCAACATCTTCTAATTAACAAAATTAGATAGTAGATCCAACCAGTCAGCGGATTCTAGCAGCATATGCAACCGATGCTGCGGCAAATAGAGTTGTTGCAGAAGACACCACAGTCCAGAAGTTCTTTTTCTTATGTGCCTCCACCTCAGAATTCTGCAGGAACTCAACTTGCTGCTTCATGTCTTCCACCACTTTCTCCTTGTTCCTAAATGCAGTTTGAATTGCTTCCAATTCAGCCGCAAACATTTCAGTTTCATCTCCAAGCTTCTTAGTATTGACCAACACTTTTTCCTTCCCATCAAGATCATCTTTAGATTGACACACTACAGCTGCAGTATTCTTCAGCATGTTTAAAGCTCGATCAGAGTTGAAGCCAATTGATTCCATTTTAGCCTTCAAATCGTCAGCAGCTTGTTTTGCCTCCAAAAGATTCTTCTGCACCAATTCTTTTTCCTCCGTCAACAACCCAATGTGACCCTGCATTTTTTTATTTTCCTCGATGAGGCTCTCGTGCTCATTCCTAATTTTTGTCAATTCTCCTACATTCTCCTGCATCCTCTTTTACATTTCTGATAGCAATGCCATGCCATTCTTTTTCTCTTCATCCAAACCCTTTTTAGCTTCATCTTTCTCATGCATAATCCGATCAAGAGAATTTTTATAGTCCCTAACTTCATTCAGCAAGCGCTTGTTTTTCTCTTCTTGATCCCTATTTGACTCTTTCAATGTAAAAACAACATCCCTCAGTTCCCCAATCTCTTTATGCAGCTCAATAATCTCAACCTCCTGACTAACTTTCTTCTCTTCAGTCTCATTCTTCTTACGGAGCAGTTTCTCAATTTGGCCCTCCTTATCATTTAATTCCACAATGGCCATGTCCAACCTCCGAGAGATCCCCTCCTTTTCCTCTATAAGCCTCTCAATACTGCTCTGCTTTTGTGTTTTCTCACGTATCAAAGCATTGATCTTCAATGCCATCTCCTTTTCCTTGTCCCTAGCGTCGCAGAAACTCTTCTCCAATTCCAAAACTTTTTCACGCAACACTTTCTCCTCCTTATGAAATTCCAAAACAACATCATTCAATCTCTCTACTTCTTTGTTCAACTCATCAACTTTCACCTTTTGCCCACTTTTCTCGATCTCCATTTTTTTCTTTTCCCTTACAATCGCTTTCATCTCTTCCTTCAAACCATCAATCTTCTTCACAGTCTCATCCAATCTCCTCTCCACAAATCCTTTCTCTTCTTTTACAGCTTCATAGTCGCTGTCCTTCTCATTTTTCTCCTCCATTAACCTTTCATATTCTTTCTTTAGAATCAAAATCTCATCTTTAAAATCACCTTCTTTTTTCTCCATTTCAACCAATCTTTCCTTCAACTCATGCGCCTTCAAAGCTTCCTGTTCACCAAAACTCTTCAGCACATCCCTATCTCTACAAGTCTGAATCACCTTCCTCCTCTCATTTTCAAGAGTACCCATCAGTTCATTCAGTTCACTCTGAAGAACCCTAATCTCATTCTCTCTCTCACTATTCTCTTTATCAAACTCTAGACCCATTTCTTTCATTTGGGTCGTCACAAAAACACTAAACAAAACCTTCTCTATCTCCAAGCTCACATTTTTCTCACTCTCCCCACTCAACTGAGCCACCAACTCACTCTTTTCAGAACTGAATCGAGCCAACTGAGACTCCAAGTCTTCCTTGGCTTGATTCAACGAATCCACCTGCTGTCTCCTCTCAATGGTCTCTTTGAGTAGCATAGAGTTAAGACTCTTCAGATTTTTGATATTCTCTGAAAGATCCTCCATGGTGGGTTTGTCAATGAGGGTTTTCTCCTCAGTTTTGTGTTGAGTCTTTTGATCTGGTGGGTTATCTTGGTTGGTGTCATTGGACTTCTGGGTCACTTTCTTCTTTGCCATTCTTGCGGTGGAAAATGAAAGACAAGAGATTTGAAGATTAGGGTTTTGCTAGGGTTTTTATGGTGGAGAAATAGAGATAGAGATAGAGACAGAAAATGGAGGGTCGTTTTAAGAATTCAAAAATTGGGGCCCAAAGTTTTAGGGTTTTTTGGGGAGCTCGAGAGAACCTTGGTTAGCTTAAAAGACAAAATTACAAGATGTGGTTGAAATTAATGTGTGCATATAGCCATATGGCCCATATGTGATATTTAATACTATATAAATCTATTAGTATTTTATTTAATATCAAAGTTTTATTATAATCAATCAAATTATATATCCATAATGTAAAACCATGTAATTGTAATTCCAAAAAAAAAAAAATAAAAAAAAGGATTAAAGCAACTTATGATAAATTTTTGTACCCAAATTAATTTAAAATTTATATATATATTTTTAAAATTATAATAATGAAACAATAAACTTGGATCATTAACTTTTGGGTACATTTAAATGTTTGTTGGGTATAAAAGATGATATTAAAACTAAATAATAGTTTTATTTATAAGTTTTTAAATATAATTCTTCATGTTAATTTTTTATTTTTTATTTCAGGTATACTTAGTAATATAAATGAAAAATTAATAAAAATATTTATTTGAGTTTTGTTGTATCTTTTGATTTTAGCAATAATTATGTAAAGGCCAAACGATATGCACCTACCAATTATTTGTCGTAAAGACAAATTGGTACCTAAAAGGTTTAGAAATGACAAACAATCATTTTACGTCAGATTCCATTAGTGAATTCCGTTTGAAGAAGGATAATGTGGTAATTTTATTCTCTATTTTCTTCACTACTATGCGCTTCCAAATTCATCTCCCACTGTTGTGCCACCTTCACCACCCTCCACCACCATCGTCACAGCCATCTTCTCCACACCTTCTAAGCCTAATGAAAATCCATGTGACCTCTCCACACCTTACTCCATCACCTCCTGCACAACCACCTGTCTCACCACCACCTCCTCAAAATGCATCTCCACCCCCATTGACATCTACACCTTCTCCCCCTCCTCCTCAACAATCCATTTCACCTACATCACCACCACCATCTCCACCTATATCTAATCCACCAACCAGTTCATGTCGACCACCACCACCATCACCAGTAGCATCCAATCCACCAATGAATTCATTGCCCCCACCACTGCAAGTATCTAATCCACCAAGGAGCTCACCTCCACCAACACCAATATTTACTCCACCAACGAATTCCCTTCCACCACCAGTGGCCAATCCACCAACAAGTCCTCGTTCACCATCAAATTTATCTCCATCACCATCATCTGATCCACCAAAAGCTTCACCTCCACCACAAACACCATCTACTCTACCAAATAGTTCCTACTTGATGATAAACATGCTTTGCTCAAGTAGTTGACATTTCACAAGAAATTCTTTTACCAGTGCAAGAAACCTCCCTTTTCTTGAATTTATAAAAACATAAATAGAAACACCATCAAAACCACAAATGTTAATAAAGATAGACACTAATACACAGGCCTAGAAACAAATAATATAAATGTCCTAGTAATTGTGACTCTGCATAGTGTTTGTTTGCTGTTGCTCCCAAAGCAAGCTTCTTGATAGAGTACTGATGGACGAGTTCAATGACTCCAACAAAAGAGAGGAGAAGGGAGAAGCGGCTGGCCAAAGAAAGAAGAAAAAGAGAGGAGAAGGGAGGGAAGAGGAAAAGAAGAAAAAAGAGAAACGATTGGCTAGATCTGCAAAAGAGAAAAAAAAAAAAAATTGAAGAGGAAGAGAAGAAGAAAGAAAAAATAAGAGAGAGAAGAGGAGAGGAAATTTTGCTGCTTTCTTTGGAAGCGACACAGTAGAAAAATTTGAAGAAAATAAAAAAAAAAGGAAGAAAAGAGATGGAAGTGGCTTTCTTTTTAGGCTGAATGCAAAATTACCTTATTGTCCTTCTTCAAACGAAATTCGTTAATAGATTCTGACGAAAAGTAGCATTTTGTCATTTCCAAACTTTTTGGGTACCAACTTGTCATTACGAAAAATTATGAGTGGGTGCATGTAGTTCGGCCTTATGTAAATCATAAATCCCAATGCCAACAACAATTAATGACACAGTAACCATGATTCAATTAACTAATTTCAATAAAGCCCAGTACGGGAATCAGTGTTTGGGCTTTAGTTATAATTTTCTGACTAGAGCAAAAAAAAAAAAAAAAAAAAGAATCTATATCCATCATCAGGGTGATCCATATACAGATACGATGAATATAACTGGAAGATGTCCAATATAAAAATATCAAACAGTTTGGAGAAACTGGAGCAGTAGAGAATGTCCCTACATCAAAAGGCTTTGATTCCTTATCCAGTCGAGGTAATTCAATGATGGGTTCATGAGTAAAAGGGTTGTAGAAGAAGAGTGAAAAAACTATTTTGTTTAGTAGAAAAGCACCCAGCCGTATCTTGAATCAACCTCCAAGAATTCCTCTATTTGGAGTACTGAAAACAGTGTGTTTTCGTTTGTGATGAGGGTCATAGGGAACATGATGACGAATCGAAAGCCATTAGCATATTTGACGATATTTGCTGCACGCCAATTTTTACACACTGCTCGACAACGTATCTGATCAACATAATGAAGACGGTTGATGATTAAACAGGAAGATGGGACCATGAATGGCTCCTTTCAGTCCTCTTCTTCTTAGCCTGGACGCCACAAGTCATTGCAAAACCAAGTGTATGCGTGTCTGTGTTATAGGGTTAGGGTTAGGGTGGTTATAGGTTAATGAAGGAGATCTATCAGTATAAATATTTTAATCACATATTTAATTTGACCCTTCGAGCTCATGTGATAATTGATGTTCATCACATTCCTGAGCTCTGTTTTAAAACTCAGACCGAATCGGTCAGTTTGACTGGGAACAGCCCCGGCCTCACCCTGCCCATTTCTAAATAAGACACCAATAATGGCTTGGTATTGGTTTCTGCTTCGTTGAAGCCTTTGTTGGTTCAGCTTATATGCGAACTGTTATATGAGCCCAAATGTTAAATCAGCCCAATGCAAGCAAGTTATGCATTTGTGTTATTCGTCTCTTTCTAGTTTGAGTAGTGTTATTTAAGCTTCAGTAAAACTCTTTCCAAAGCCCCATGATTGATAACTTTTCTTCCTGGATTTTAATCTCTGTCTATAACTGTTGTTACGCCTCTTTAGTCACATGGGTTCCATGAAATATTGTCTGCTTTGAGACCACTGGCTATGCTCCTGATAAGCCCGTACGATTTTGTCATGAAAATACGTCTCTAAGTTTTGAGGGTGTTCTTATACTATATAAGCGACCAAGACTCTCGTCTCTTAGTTAGATGTGAGAGTTTAACATCAACAACAACTTATAACTCAAAAGGTTTGTCGTAGAATTTAATTCGAACAATCTAAAATTTTTCTCAAACCCGTCTCTTTTCTCATAATGATGAGATTAAATGCTTCTTCTTTTATTTCTTATTAAGAAACAGTATTCCATCCTATTTCTTATAAAGATGAGATTAAATGCATCTTATTCATTTTTTTTTTTTTTTTGGTTGTGAGAATTAAATTAAATAAAGTAAACTATTCCCATTCAATATATATATATATATATATATATATAATCTTTGGATTACTGGTTTATGCATTTCTGTCAAGTTCATTCATTGACTGAAAAATATAAGGGAAAAAAAACTGAATAAATGAGGTATGTTTTATCTATGATAATTATTCTTTTTTATATATCCTAAAAATGTTCATGTTTAGTAGCTATATGGGAGCTTTAGTACAGAAAAGATCAGATTAAGAGGACCCTGAACTCAACTAGTTATAAGTAAGTGACGATGCAGGATGTATATTGACCTTTCTGTTTTGTTCTCATGCAATAGTATTTTGAACATTCTAAATAAAGAAAACTTTACACGTAAAAATATTGTTGTACCACATCGTCTATAGGGTTGGAATCAAAATATAACTAATCACATAAAGAACGTAACAAGTAAAGAGAAAGAAATACACGCAATTTATCTTCGTTTATCCGAAATTGGGTTATGCCCAACAGAGTCAAATATTATTGAAATATTTTCTCACCTCTCTCGTTACATTGAATGTATTTATTATATTTTTCAAGATCATTTATACAAGATAATAATGTTTTCATATACTAGGTTTATAAACAAATACATAAATTCACTCATACAAGAGAATCAAGGGCGGATCCAACATTAGCTCAATTTAAAAAAAAAAAAATATTAATATGTACAATTTTAAGATTTTGACCCACCCTACTAAAAATATTAATGGACAAAAGTGTTAACGTTTAATTAGTATTTATTTTGGCCCACTCAAACAAATATTTATGGATCCACTATTGAAGAGAATAATGTCTTTCTATATATCTCACTCGGCGTGCGTTGTCCCTATAAGTAAACCCCTTATTGTTGAAGTGGTTGTCAATTCCAACAATATGATGAGATTTTATTTGATTACAAACATAAAGATAATGTGATATATCCATTCAACTCAAACTTTCTCTCAAAGGGTAATACTATACATATAACTCAGTCTCACAACCCTAACGTGGTAGCTCATAAATAGGTTCCGTCTGCTCGCTATGGGTCTCATTTACCAAATTTCGAACTGACTAATTGTAAGCTGTCACGTTAGGATTGTAAAAGAAAGTTTATAAGATTAGGTTGTAAGTTAATATCTGTGGTTCTCCCAAATCAATCCATACATGCACTTGGGATTAATATTTTCTGAGTACATTAAAATATTAACAAAGGTACAACTGATGGTGGAATCTGCCAAGCTGGAAACTCTTGGCACAGAGCCGACCTTCCTCTCATTCACATTAGATCTTAAACTTTCCCTCATTAAACTATTCTACCTCTCTCTTTCAATCCCCTTCACAATGGTTATTTTCCATCTTTTGAGATCCCTCGATTACTTTATAGGTTTGGCAAATTGAGTTATTCTTTTGAGATGAATGCTATACCCCATTGGAGAGTGAACATTAAGAGAGAGTTTATTATATAATTTGGTGTGAAAGTTTCAACCCCTGTAAGATCAACTAGAATAGTTTATATAGTATAATGAGTTAAAGAAGGTGCCATTGGAGCATAATATTTTGAGCTTGCTTGCAGATTACCTGCAGACCAGGAGACATCCCACCCCATGTGAAAACAGTTGACTGAAATATAAAATACGTTGTGTGCAATGAATGTAATATGAGTTGTGGGAATAGTTATCATGAAAGTTGGAAACTTAATTAACAAATAAACACACCAACGTGGGGTTTCTTCTGTATTTTAAATACCCACATATGTGCATTGCTAACCACTTTTTTTTTTTTTTGCCATTAAAATATAGGCATAAAATATCAGATACGTAAAGGCTAATAACAATGGTCGGTGGCTTCAAGTTTTTGTTTAGCCAATGCAAAAGTTTGTTCCTTGAAAGCAAGAGTTTTCATACAAAAAAATGTACGAGTGGTTGCTAAATTTAGTTGAACCAGATGGGGACATGGCCATAGAAATACAAATGATTCATGAGAAAAAAAAACTGTAATGTTTTGCCATTCTGAGATGGACATATTAACATTGCAGCATAAGAATATTTGGTGTCAATCATTTGTTATAGCTGTGGAGCCCTTTTGTTTGGTGTGGTTGATCAACTAGCTGTTCATACAAGCAAGGAGTTGGCATTGAACAAGCTCAGAATTAAATATATGTAGCATCAAACAGTTTAGCAGAAGACAATGTTTGTTTAGTTGCACAGCAAAAGGGAAATTGATAAGTCAATTACTGATATTGACATTTCTATATTAATGAAGGATAATTTTCTGGTAATTTTTAATCGATTTATGATTAAACTAGAGTTATCTTAACATGTATTGTAAGAGAAACATATTTTAAGAGTACAAACATACAAAAACTTTTCTTATTTCTTTTTGATGAAGTAGTGTCCAGACCAGCTTACGTGCATCTTAATTAATATTCGAATAAGAGTTTCAATGGCTACCCTTAGTAACAATCGAAAAGGGATTCAAACTCAAAACCTTTTGAATAATACACCTAAGAGTCTTTATCGAATCACTTGATTACACAAAGGTACTTTGTTATATCAATTCACATTCGATGCATTGAAAAGAATTGAATTTACCTTTTACCATTCATGAAGACAATTAAATTTATGTCCTTTTATTTCCTTTCATGTGCCCATAATGAAGTGCAATGCCGATATAGATAAAGGAGGGTTAATTTATTTACATTCTTGATCTTCATTGGTGATACATTGTATGATGATATTATACAAAGCTTAATTAAGATCGAAATCTGGTTAACCCTCTCTGGTAGCTTAAATCTTCCTGAAAATGAACTACAACTGACTCAACAACAAACAAAGAAAACAAAAAAAGTACTTCTCTACATGGCCAGCTGATCCATACTAGCTTATTTAATTTTTCTGCAGATTGATCATGAATCTGCTGCATTTCATTGCACTGGAATTGTCCCACCAGCTTCCATAATTTGTTTCTCAAGCTACAATCAAATAAGTAGATATAAGTAAATCTACAGACAATGCAACTGTAAAAATGGTCTTAACATGTTTTATAGGACAACACAAATTATCAAGAACTATATATAGTGTTTTCAACATACCTTGAACAGAGTTTCAAGCTTATTTTTCACGAAATAATACTCTCTCTTCAATTGTTGCAGACATTTCAGACATCTACAAAGAGACCAATTTTCACATCAAATAATGGAACATATATTATCATAATTAAAACTAGCTAATTGTTAATAAATAAACTCACTCTTCAATGTTCCTCACTTCACAGTAGTTGCGAAAGAGAATGCATACTTTCTGAACTCTCTGTGCTCCAATGCTGTTACTTAATTCAAGTGCACAGTTAGTGTTCACTAAAGCTGTAATTCATGAAAGTAAATACAAAAAAGAGTTGATGTAAATAATGATAGTTTTTTCTTTCTAGTACAACTGTGGATAAGATGTGGTCAACTTATGCTTAGTTGATGTGGGACAAAGATGTTGGGAAACAAAAAGAGTGCTAAAATTAATTACCCACAAAGTACAAAGTTAATTCAACATTTTATTAAAACAATTACTTATGGAACAGTTGTTCCCGTAACATAAATTAAGCACTGCAAAAGCAAAATTTTCTTTTGGAGAGTGTTTAGTAAAAGAATTAATGAACATTGCTTCACTAATTGTTCAAACTAGAAATCTAAAAACAAAGTTGCAGTCTTTTGATACATGATTTTTATATTATAAATGAGTTTCATGGGAAATAAATGAGGGTCAAAATGAAAGAAATAACGAAGGAAACCATAAGCACCTGGAGCTGCTGCCTTTCAGCTGATGAACATGAGCATCCAACCTATTGAAATCTATGTTCTGCTGATCTCTGTGCAATACAACAAGAACTCAACCACATTAGTAGACTGAAAATTTCCAACATAAAAGGAAAAGCAAAAGAAGAAGAAGAGGAATTTTCTTAAGAGAAGAGAGCAAAGCTCCTCACAAGGTCTTGGCCAACTCATCAAAAAGCCTCTCACTATCCTTAAAGAAAAGAGACACAACTTCAACTACAAAATCTGGGTTGCTTTCATCTTGCAGTTGCTGAAGTTGGGTAAACTGATCGTCCAGAATTCCCTATTCAACACACAAACACAATAACTCATCATCAAAAGAAATAAAAATACATACATAAAAACAGCATCAAAGAATCTTTAATATATATGTAGTTGACAGTAAAATACACATACAGACCTCATTGAACAAAGAGGTTTTGTAGTCAACTAACTTCTTCTGCAACTGAATAACGTTATCCATGAATTCTAGTTGTCTTGAGTATATCAACTTGCTTGAAAATAGATCTCTGTGTTGTGCAGAAGAAGTGAAACTATATCATCTTCTTCTTGGTTAGAAAGAGTAAAACAAAGAAAAAGATTTGATGAAATTATATAGTGAGAGGAGGGATAGATTCTTTGTACTCCTTGAAGTAGACTAAATATAAATAGTTGTATGTGAAGTCACTCTCTTTGTTGTTTTCCCTAGTGTGGGTTTATTGTTTTTCTGTTTTCTTTGTTTCCTTCTTTTTAACACATCATTTATGAAAACTCTGAAATATATATTATGGCATCACACAAGATCCAAAACTAGGTGCCATGTACCATTCACCTTCCCATCTTTTTCTTTCACTAATTATGGCACTTTCTCTCTCTCTTTCTCTTTCCCCGATATTTTATTTTATATAATTATAAATTTTTATATTTACTTGTTTGTTTTTTCAATTCTCCAAGGTGTGTTTAAACTATAAGACAGCAGCTTTGTCTGATGGAACATGGCATTTTCAATGCTTTGGTTTGGCTCCGTCTAGTACAGTACTCCATCCTACTAATATCCATCTAGCTATAGCTGGTGATGACCATTAAAACCCTAATTAACAGCTTTTCAATGCTTTGGTTTGGCTCTGTCTAGTACAGTACTCCATCCTGCTAATATCCATCTAGCTATAACTGGTGATGACCATTAAAACCGTAATTAACAACCTGTGTTTGGAGGTGTAGAAAAATGATATTGACATATCATATGAATATCATATGATGGGTCAATTTTTAAAAAAGCACTATGCAACAAGAATCAACTTGATTAAATAATGGATGTGTATTACACAATCCAATCGTATTGGTTTAAGTTTAAACCTTTGTTGACTCAAAACTGTACTGTAACATGCAATTTAAGAATGAATCAAATCTTCTCGCATTTCCTTTTTGATTTTCTCATATTTCATGTAAAACATAGACCATATTCATTTTAAAAAAAGTCATCAATCATCTTAAACATATGGTGTTTAAGACTACCAACACAACAGCACACAAGATATGAATAGATAGAATGAAAAGGACTTGAATCCCACAAAAGATCCTTTTCTATTTCGAGAGAGAAAAAACTGTAAAAAAAAAAAAATCATCTCTTTCAATTCAGTCTGATCATCCATTCAAAGATCAAGTTGACCACAAACTATCAACTTGGGTACAATAATCAAACAAAAATTAAGATTAGCCCTGACGCATCATCATCATCAAAGTAGATATCACTATCAATCTTACCAACCTGTTCTCTCTTCTTAAATCTCTCCTTTTTTTTTTCCTACCAAGTATGTCACCTCACATTTCACTGGCAGCAGCTAAAGCTAGCTGGAACTCTTTCTTTTCAAGAATCTTATCAGGACTCTCTCTCTCTCTCACTCACTCACTCACTCACTCAAAACTGTTACTGTACCTGCATGTTAAGTGGTGGTGGCTGATGTTTTTTTGTATACGCTGTGGAGTGGTGATTGGCCAGTTCGTTTTGTCCATTACTGGAGGGGTGTACTCAAAAGGTGACAAATTTCCCACCAAATAAATTCTACTTTACAGTGTACTATTATTACTAAAACTTTTGGCTTTACTCATTCTGGGTTGATTTTTGCTTTGGTTATTATTTTGATGTTGAAATGTTTTACCCTTTTGGGTTGGCTTCTGCAATTTTGGTCGCTCTCTCTCTCTTTCGTGTCATCCGTTTAGGCCCCTCTTGAAGGAGGGGACGGGGGGAACCTGTTTTGGTAATTACACAGAGGCCCTTATCCTTTAAATTAAACAGAGAGTTAAATTAGTAATTTTATACTTGGAAGCTAAATTTACTTACACTCTTAACAAAATAAATAAATAAATAAATAAAGATATGGTCAAACATGGATAAATATAAATAGATTTTGGTCAGAGAAGGATGATTTGGAAGTTTTACTTTTTCCACAAGTCTTGGGTTTGATTTGAACAAATCCGTCCTAGATTTGATCTATTATTATGATCAGGATCAGATCATGAGTCATGAATCATGACAAAGAAAAAGAAGGAAGAAATTGATGTGATTTTGTGATTATGCCTCAGCTTGGGTTGGGTTGGGTTGAGTTGAGAACAAAGTTTAGGGTTGGTGAATTTTGAATTGGGTTTCATTTCAATCTGATAGCAAATATTTTAATTGCGATATGTGATGTTGTGTCGTTTTCAGAAATATACAAGTCCCAAATTCTATGACGAAATTATTGAAAGGAGGCCCCGCCTGAAATTACAAGTCCCCTTTGTCTCTAGTCTCTACACCCGAAAGAAGAAATTGATTACTAGGTTTTTGTCGTTGTGCATCAATTGAATTTAAGACTACACAAAACCATTAATCCACAATTGCATTACAATCAAATAAGTGGACTTGGTTACCTAATTGAGGTGTTATGTCGGTGTTGTTTTGTTTGGGCTGAAAAAGTGTTTATCTCCCACATTATATAGACATAGATCAAGTATTGACCATAGATAACATCACCTAATAAGTTAGTCGTTTTTAGAGTAGCCGACAAGTGCCGGACCCGTGACAAAAAGAAGGGTTGTGATTGATGAATGATAAAAACAGAATGCAATGAATGAAACCCAAAATGACCAAATCACAGCCAGGCAAAAGCGGAAGCAGAATACACAACAAAGGGGGGGTAGTGTTTTCAGGCCATGAGCTAGGTTAGTTTTGTTGTGGGAGCATCATTTTTTATCTCCTATGGACATTAAAGGGACCACACTGGGTGCCTCTCTACCTCTACATTTTTTATATGAAGGCATCTAAGTGGGGGCCAAAACACAGCAGATTTTCAAGCCATTAATGTAGTTGCCATGGCATGCCACAAAAATACAAAGTTATAGGATGTCTGGGTATCCAAAGTTCTATTAATGAACACACTTGGATGGATGTTCCTATCAGACCCACCAACAAAAAATGTAAATGGACAAATAACGTGCAATTAAATGATCTGGACCCATCAATAATACACCCTTAAAGCCTTCCCCCCGCTCAAAACACTATCATCTTGATAAAGCTGAGAAATGATAACATGCTATATAGGTAGGTAGATACGTAGCCAAAGGATAAGCTGAGAAACTTTAATCACCCTATTTTGTTTTTACATTTAAGAAAAAAAAATTATATATTCCCTATCATCATATGACCCGATAGTAAATTGGAAACGAAATGGAATCATGGTATCCTTGTAAAATATGCACAATGATAAGCAATATGTGATGAGACAGAACTTTCTGATGGTAATAAGGCCNTTAAATGATCTGGACCCATCAATAATACACCCTTAAAGCCTTCCCCCTGCTCAAAACACAATCATCTTGATAAAGCTGAGAAATGATAACATGCTATATAGGTAGGTAGATACGTAGCCAAAGGATAAGCTGAGAAACTTTAATCACCCTATTTTGTTTTTACCTTTAAGAAAAAAAAATTATATATTCCCTATCATCATATGACCCGATAGTAAATAGGAAACGAAATGCACATCATGGTATCCTTGTAAAATATGCACAATGATAAGCAATATGTGATGAGACAGAACTTTCTGATGGTAATAAGACCACACACACAAACACACTCTTTAATAATGCAACTATACAGGAAATTTCTCATGATTCAAGAATGCAACAATGTCTCCTGCTACATGGAAATACCTTCAGAATAAGATTTACTTACGATGAGGAAGATACTCCGAAGTCCCCCAAGTATAATACCATGAAAGCAGGAAGATGTCCTGATTATGGTTGAAAGAATATAAGACTCTATCCAACTACAATTTAAGATTGTGAGGTCACCTGCTTCAAAAAGAGGTGCGAAATTAATAGTATGCCACAAAAAGAGGTTCAGAATTTGTAGTTCCATGTATCTTACAGAAACCTCATATGACAAAAGAATGTAATTTGTACAATAACAAGATGAAGACATCTTGCATTTTCGTTTTATTTCTTTGTTTTTTTTTTGAAGAATGATTAATGTTACACAGAACAGAAAACACCTGTCCACACAATCCAATTGTAATAAGAATATGAATGTACATAATTTACAATAGAATTAGAAGGTGAAAACCAGGCATCCATCTTGTATCAATCAGTCAGTAGCAGATCCATTGTTGAAGGCAATAACTCGAACTTATATCAATTAGTATCTCACCCTCCATAAGGCTGACCTTTGACCAACCTTTCCACAATTATTTCAATCATAGATAACGCAAGGAAGGGTATAAATCAACCTGCAGCAAAGAATTGGCAACACCACAAAGATCAGAATTTCGGAAGATAATCTGAAAATGGGGTATATGGAGATGCAACTCATCAATTTCAACATAATAAATAAATGAAACGAGCAACAAAGGGTGTATTATCTACTAAAAGTATTACAAAAGATATTAAAGATTTATGGCATCAAGTGTATAAAATCTATAAAGCAACATATTTCGTCTTTAAAACAGTGAATCTAGTAAATACTTAGTGTCATATTCATTTCTTGGATTAAAAACTATTCAATTATGCATCTCTTGGAAGTTCAGAACTTATAATACTGATTATCCTAAAGCACAAATACTACACAAATAACAATGATCAAAAACAATTTTCACATTTCTACCTTCTTCTGAGAAGGCAAAAACACCTCCAAGCATGTCATCATTATCACAATCATCCTCAGATTTATCATTGTCACAATCTTCTTCAGATTTCTCTTTATCACAAGGACTGTTGCTGCTGTCAACATCAGTGACAACTCCAGCTGATTCACGAGATTCACATGAGGCTGAGGCTTTACAGGGTTCTTGAAAAAAATGTTCAAAATCCAGTGAGTCTTTTACTGGGCTGTCATCTGTAGTGTTTGTACTCAATTCAAAATGATTAGAACTTATGTTTACAATTTCACCAGGCCCATTACTGGTTGATGACTGAACTTCTTTTGCTATGGCTCCTCCAGCAGAACGTGAGCCACTTGTTAAAGATGATACAATATTTGAAAACTTGCTATCCTCTATAGGAGAACCATTGACTGCAGATTGTTTCAACAAAACTGAAGCATTTTCTTTGTTGAACAAGATTTGATTCAGTGTAGGTGATGCCAAATCAAACCTGCCTCTTCCTGTACCAAAATTTTCATTCCCGTTTACAGATGGATAAGTAATCTTTGATGACCCTGATAGAAATGCCACAGAAGAAATGAGTTACAGTATTTTAAAAGCATCATGGAATATCTCTATCTCTATCTATTTTTTAAATAAGTCATACCACCATCTGAGTTTTCAACTGAGCGAGGTGACGCTGACTTTGATTCTGAAATATCAGTTTCTTCAAAATACTTCTCTTTGGCTTCAAAAGACTTAGAAGATGAAACTGTAGATCTTCCTCCAATAATGCCCCTGCAAAAAATGAAGTAAATTGATATGATAAGAATAGGGAAAAGATTCATATCCATAAGCCAGCAAAGCTGGGTGCCTTCTCATATTAAGAGAAACCCCACTACCCCCTTCTCTCACTCTCACAGACGCCATGGGGACACACGCTCACACACCAAAGTTTTAAATTTCTAAGTGCACATCGAGCTGGGTACAGTGATGGGAAAAGTGCTACATTTACGAAGGTTGAAAGCAAATGGCTAAGAGATTATGAAACAAAGAGTTAAAACCAGAAGAAGCTCAAATTGAAAAAACCTAAGGAACACTATCATACTATTTATTGAAATGCAAATGGGATGAAAGAAATAGGCAGTGCTTGCACAAATTCACACTTGTTACTACAACTTGAAATTAATTATTACCAAAGAATCGATTACAGGTATTTAAAATAATATGTTATCTGATTATATTTTTCAGTTATAACCTAAGATGTCATGATCTCACGTACAAATCAATATACCATCACCATAACAGTACATCTCCTGGTGACCGTTCACTTGAAGTTTGAAGCATAAACTTTTGACCATAACACACATGGCTGCCCAAAGTTAAAGGAGACTTCTGGTTGTCTTACTGCTATAAGTATAATACAGAGCAAAATGACTTGGATGCAAAAATAGCAAGAACATTACCTCTCATTCCAGTCAGATTGAATCCTGTGAAAATTGTCGAAAACAGGCAATAAATCCTTCCGCCTAATCTCAACATAATGAACAGGAATTTTCTCAACTTCTATCTCTCCACCAGTTTGTTCTTTAGTGGAATTTTGCTCATCATTCTCCAAAGGATTCATTGTATAGAAATGTATCTAAAAAAAAATGAAGAACATGAACAAAGCTATTAACAGTAACAAATAGGAGCATCTCACAAATCTATATGATAAATACCTTAGAATTTTGCCAGATAAGTATCCGTCCGGAGCTCATCTGCACCTCTGCATTGGAGATATGTAAGTGAGATTGGTCATGGAGTTTTACATACTCCTTATGCCCAGTATCATTATCTTCACAATCAGAAGTATCCATGATCATCCCTGAAACTTCTTTCTGACCAACAGTAATTCCAGAAATGCACTCCTCTCTTTCAGGCCAATCTGTTCTTCGACAGACATCCCACCCTTGAACAGGTTCAACTTTTACTCCTAATTCCTCATCTTGTATCTGTGCAGAATAACTATGTCCTGTTCTCAGAGAGGTTTCACTTGTCTCTCCTCCAGTAGATGATAGTAACTTATACTGAACAACATTACCAGAAGGAGTGTAAACCAATAGGTGCTCCAAAGCATTGACTTTTAAGTGAGCAGGTTGCAAATCCTGAGGCACAGAACTATGAAAGACACCAGCTACTGCACCAGATGGAATGGAGGCCCTTCCTGCTGCAGAAGATGCAGCATTGCTAACTGTGTTAAGCCAGCCTGAATTATTATTTTTTATTCTGCTAACCACAGAGAGTGTAACAGGTGCTGGTAGTGGTAAAGGAAAAGAGTGTTGATTTGTCATGAAAGATGGACCAGACCACCATGGTAGAGAAAGGACTGGCGTGAGAGAAGGCCCATCTACATTAGAATTCTGTATTTGAAGCACAGTCTCACCGCCAAAAGGGGCAAGAGCAAAAATGTGACAAGTTCCCCTGGATGTAACAATGGCAATCCACTGGCTATAATTACTAAAACAAATGTCTTGTATCACCTGTACAGTAAACACAAGCACAAAGAACTCTATTAACATTAGGTAAAGTAAGCATAAGTCCAAAGAACTCCATTAACATTCTAAAGATAACAATTTTGGGAGAAAGAGGGGGCAAGAACATACAGCTGATGTCATGCCACGGTGGAGCTTGTAAAGGTGCACATGAGAAGAACTCCAATCATAGTTTTGAGAGGCAGAGGATGTTCGATGTTTTGAGCAGGATGGCATGATCCGGAAAACATTTATATTATTTCCATGTATTGATGCAGTCACCAATAAAGTCCCACTTGGATCAAAACATAGAGCAGAAATTGGACTTGTATGAGCCCGGAACTGTGATATGACAGCTCTGGACACAAAATCTTTCACAACAACCTGCAAAAAGGTCAGACAAATAAGAGATAGAAAACCATCAACTCATGCATAGGTGTAAATTGCTTAACAGATAAAATACCCACCGCATCCCTCTGCTTTTCAGTATATCTAGGTACTACTGATTAATATTAAGCATCTCAGGAGATCCTACTCCATGTCAGCTGAACCGAAAGATATGTTCTTGTATACACAAGACAACATGCAAACAAATATATGAATAATGAACTTTCATTTCCTAGTGGACATAATGAGAGACAATAATGTTTTTTAGAATAACATATAAAATGCTGGTTCTGAGGTTGTCAAAGACTAACCATCCCAGCAACATCAGATTCTGCCGAATGTGATGCACCACGTGAAACTTTCCAGCTTGAATTGGAAGATAAAGGAGGACTAGAACCATCAGGGACAATATCTTGATAGTATCTAGACAAAGTCTTATAGCCCATGTCACCCAGATTTATCAACCCTACAGCTAACTGCTTACTAGATTCCATAGCATACCGAGCCACCAGATTTCCATTGCTGGGTGAAGTTGATGGACTCACACCTGGAGGAGTAAGACTTTGTGGGCTCAAGCGGCCTGTAGTTGGGAGCAATGGGTTGTTGGAGGCATAAGCTAACCATCGGGGACCCACAGCCATTGGACCATATCCAATATTAACCCCAAGCACTCCTTGGCCTCCCAACTGAGGGACAGGATAAGTGAGGACACTAAACTTGTTTTCAAGAGTGAGAGAGTCAAAACAGTATATCTGCAATAAAATATATAAATATATATTAGCCAGGTTTACATTGTTTAACTTCATATGGAAACTTTTATCAACTAAAATTTATAATATTCATGTCATGGCAACAAAATATCCCCTCCAAGGAATGTCTTTATTAAACCTACAACTATCAAATTGAGCATTCTGTGTTCTCTAACAATCAGGTAAACATTCAACACCTACATCTATTAAATGATAAAAGTCAATTGTAACTGTCCATTTTTATCTAAAATATGTCAGGAAAATGATATGGTACACAAAGTAAACTGCAAGATACTTCTTCAAAAGATTAACAAAAGCTAACTCTTACTTGAGAGGCAAGACCCACAGCCACTATTCGAGGACTGCATCTAATCATATAGACAGTTGACCGAAATCTGAGAACATGCACATAGTTGTGAGACCTTAGTGAGTAAAATCGAACAGCTCTTGGAGCGGTGGCAAGGTTTCCTGTTTGAGGGTCATCATAACCATCTCTTACCAGCCCATCTCTCACAGTAGGTAATAAACCTGAGCTGCTCTTTGATTCATCACACGCTACAACTAGGAGTAAAGGATGAGAATTTCTATATCCTTCATGATGCTCAGACTTTGCAGGAAGAGGCTGCATCTGTAAAAATGTAACTGGATCATCATGCCTTGAAACAAGTTCACTGACATTAGAGGCCTCTTCAATGTCAAGAACTTGAAAACCATTGGAGTATCCAAGTAAGAGAACACGTTTGAAGGAAGACGGACTAAGCTCTAGTCTGTCAAATGAAGACCACAGTACCTGTTTGACCAAAGAAAAAAATAGGAAATTCAAATGACGCTAGCACAAAAAAGGTAACAAGGATGCAGCCTAAATGCAAACAATAGTAATTATGGTATCCATCGTTGATTACAAATTAAAAAAAAAAAGGGCCATGATACAAAATGGAGAAGTTAAATTTAAATTTCTTGTCATGTTACAAACTAGTGCAACTGAAAGCCCAATGGCCAATAATTCGTTGCTGCATCTCCTCTCTCTAAAAGCACAGAGTGCATCCTGTTTACTTGAAAAACCCATTGTCATACTGCTAAATATATCATTCCACTTGATCAAATTCTTGTTCAAGTAGGAGAATCCTCAGTCAAGATCAAACAACAATCCCCTTTTCTATCCTTCTATTTTGATAAGTAATAAAGAACTTCTTCATAGAAGTTTCAGTTTAAACAAATTAAAAGATTTGAGTTCCTTTCAACTAATATGTATTCACAGAATCAACTTTTGGAAATCCACCTTGTTGACTCAGAAATCATCCGCTAACAAACAATTACCATCTCCATAGTCTTCCTAATAGCATTAATATTCAGCCTATCAACAAATCTGGAAACTGAGATGAATATAAATGGCAGAATTCTTCATCAAGCATATCTGAATCAGACATCAATCTGAATACCTCCAACAGAGAAACCTTAAAACAATAAAAATAGTGAGCCTTCAACATGCAAAAGTGAGATCCATAACCTTTATATCTATCAATTAATATTGATTTAGCAATAGCAAGCTGGAGTGCTGGACTTTACCATCAGCCAACAATCTAAATAGACAATCTAAATAGTGTTGAGAAAAGCATAAATTAACTCAAAATATCTCTCCACCTCCAATGCAACAACTCCAAGAAGCCATTTCTACCACCATAAAAAGTGCAACAGGTAACCAATTTATTCGCATTGAAAACGCTTCACTTCATTGTTTGATTCATACAACTAGCTCGTTCTGAGGCATCATTTTCTGCAAAACTAATCTGAGTCAGATAAATTGTTTAGCCCTATTATTATCATCTTCTCATAATTCTTAAGTATCACAATCGATGAATAGTTATCTAATTACTTATATGTTATCAGGCTTCTTAATTAATCACAACTTCATTCATTTTACTTTCTTTCTCCTCACTTTCTCAGCTACCTAACAAACTGAATCCAAATTTTCTCAGCAACCAAACAAGAAAAAGAAAAATAATAACCCAAGCAAATCGCTTAAATTTTCTCATCAACCAATAAAATAATTCAAACAAGATTCAAACTTCATCAACAGCTTAAAAAACATCAACTTACTAACTTAAACAATCTAAAACTAAAAATGAACAAATGATTGACTGAACCTGGTCTTTAGTCTCATGAGAATCGCCAGAAATAGAAGCGGCAACAGAGGCGCCAGCTGACCTGACACCTGAAGAAGCGGTTTTAATACAAGACGAAATGAACTTCAACGAATTCGGAATCAACTTCCCGTTCTTGTGATTAGCAATATGATTTCCGTTGCTGTTAATGTTATTGTGATTGCTCTTCATAGTCAAAACGATAGTCCGAGAATTGACCGGCCACCGGGGCGTCACCGGCGATCATAAATCGTCGCTCGCGAGAAATTCAAAAAGCAGCGGCGAGAAATTAAACCGGTGGTTGTTGTTGTTGTGGAGGAGGTGGTGGTTGAGTTTATTTTTTTGAAAAAAAAAAATCAAAAAGAAAAAAAAGAAAATGAAATAAAATGGAGTGGTTTTTTTGACGTTGAACGGAGACGGTTTTTGTTTTGTTTGTATTTTTGACTGTGCTTCGTTGTTTGTTTGGGGGTTTAATTGGACTGCAAGCAAGTTTAGTGAAATATCGATTGACTCCCTTCAGCTCTCTCGTCTTTCATTTGAGGGTCTCAGATCAGTGAGATGTGTTTGAATTTAGGTCAACTTACCATTTTGCCCTTTATCATTTGAAGTTAAAACTCCCTTGTAATCATATCTAGACAACTAAAAGATATTACGTCCATACACGTGTTATGATTATATCTGTTGTATCAAATTCACTTACGTTATCTCATTCATTACTACATCAGTTTATTATTTCTTTCTGAATTAGTTAAAATGTTAAATTACTATATTTATTATTACTATTATGATTATTCAAGAGTGATAAACTTACAATTATCAGTTACAACAAACAGCAATATAAATACTACAAAAACATTTATCTTATCTAATATGCGAGTCAAAATTATCTTTGAGTTTGGGGGGGAATGGAAATACCCTAATACTTTGGGAAACTCTGTAATAAAGAAAAAAATGAAGGACGAAAGGAATAGTGGTAGAGTATAAGAAATGAAAAAGGGAGACATCGGTTACGTTACGACAAAGTACTAGAATATCTTAAAACAAGAAGACGAAGCCAATCATCCCAATTCAGCTATTTAATTAATTAATTAATTTACTTTTTATGAATTTGATTTGATAGCTTTACGTACCTTCTTATTATTTTCTTTATTCTTCTACTTGTATTTTTATTATTATTATTTTTTATAAATAAAATAAAGAGGAAATTTTTAGTCAACCAAACCGATATGTCTCATTATGTTAACATCCTGGTGTAATACAAAAACCAGATTTTAAGAGTTCAATAATATAAAAGAATAAAAAAGAAAAAAATTAGAAAGAATAAATTATTAAAAAAATATAAAAATAAAAAAAAGAAGAAAACATAAGAAATAAATATAATATTAAAAAAAAAAATAAAAAAAAAAACATAAATAATAGGCTAACAAGAGAGGTTTTTATAATAGTTCGGATGCTTAAAGCAAATCCTACATTCAAGGGTAGATTCAACCCCTTTGAGGGTATATTTGAAAAAAATTTTATTAATATACAAGCCATAAAAAATTGTTAATTAACATATATACCCAAACGTACATTCAAATTTAAAAAAAATAAGAATTATTATACATACTGTATATCTAAATTTACAAAAAAACTTGTTAATAATATATATATATTCCAAGCTTACATCATATTAAAAGTTTAAAACTCTCTTCAGTGTTTTCCTACACAGCTTTACCTGTTTTTTTATGATTTTATCCACAAATTCTTTACTCTCTCTTTCTCTTTCCCATGTTATTCTCTCTTAACTAAAATTGTTAAATTTTCACTACTCAAAGTGTCATAATTAGCTCCGTCTTTTGTTTTATAGATTTTAGGTATGTGTATTGTTCATTTCAATTTAGTTTATTTAAGGATTGAATAAATTCTTTTCTTTTTGAGGTTTTTTATTCTAATTTGAGAGAAAAATATATTAATCTTGTGAGTTTATTTTGTATTTTCTGTTTAAAAATGAATCTGCTTTCTCAAATAAAAACCTTAACTATATTTTAAAGGACATTATTCTTTATCCTTCACCCACCACTTTCCTATATTTTAAACGTCACCGTTCAGTTATTCAAAATTATTAAAGAAATTTGAGTTATTATCTATGTTTATACTAAAAAAAATTCCCCTCTTTTATTAATTCATATTAAAAGTCAATGTAACGTTGACTTGATTTAAGTTTTGGTTGGGTTTAGCTTAATTAGGCTAGGTTTGACTAACGCTATGAAAATTTATATTATTATATTTGAAAGCCAAAAATAAAAATAGTAAAAAAAAGTTTTGTTCAAGGTTTACTCAACACTTTTACTCTAAATTTTGCTTCTCATAGATTTATTCAAGTAAGAAAATTAACACAATAGATTTATTCAAGTAAGAAAATATTGTGTTAATGTATATTCTTCTTTCTCATGTTCTTAATATTATATTATTTTTTTAATAAGGTTTAGTGATTTTTTAAAGTTTTTACTAATTATTTGACAAATAATGGTCGAGCCGCGGAGGCTCCCCCTCGACAAAAATCCTGGATTCGCCACTGCCTACATCCACTGTTATTTTATTGATCTTTAACTATTTCTATGATATTGCCCGTAAAACATATAAAGATGAAGAAATGCTTTGTTTATAGAGAGAAAGAATTGAGCCAAAATCTATGCCTAGCTCTCATATGCACAACCTCCTTTTTTGTGAAGAGAAGTGCTAATTTATACACCGTTGAGGTCAATGAGTGTTTTGCAAGTTGTCTTGACATATGTAAAACTCTCATCCATTCATCCCTTGAAATGAGATATGATTGATATGAATATCTTTGAGGCGGTGGGCTTGACAGCTAATACAAAAAAGGTATTTATTGAACTGATATCAGCATGACTTTTTAGGCATGAAAAATAATATGAGAGAATAAAAATGAGTGTAATTAGAAGGAATTTTTTTTTTTTTTTTGTTCTTTTCAAGAAGGAGAAGACGTACGGAATTGATATTTTTTTTTTACCAATATTCGAGTTTATAACGTGTGTAATTCTATTGGGTGGCGGCAAAGATGGGCTGGTTCATATGGGTCAAAGCCCATCAACTATGAGTCAACTTAGTAGCTGATGGACTGCCAATCCGTTGAGCCCATTTTTTCTTTTTTTTTTCCCATGAAAAATGATTTTCTAAACGTAAAAACAAATCTTAACTGATGTGACAGAAAATAAATGGAAGAATAAAATTGACTTTTTGTATTCACTCTTTATTCATTTTCTACCAATCACTTTATATAGAAATCTTTGTACGTTTCTAAAATTGTCTCTGTTATTATATTAAGTAATTGCGTATTAAATAAGTTAAGTGATTTTAGGCCTCCGTCTAAAACAAAATTTAAAATTTAAAAGTGGGAGATAAATATCAATTAAATGGGGGTTAAAAATCACGAGTAATACTAGTCATACAAAGTACAAACATATCTTACAAAAATTTATACACAAACTGATGTAACAGAAAATAAATGGAAGAATAAATATTATGAGTTTGTGCGTTTAACATTATTGTTTAGAGAAACCAGTCTTGTAATTGAGTCCCTTGATCCACATGACAAACCCTATTCATGAACTTTGGTCCTATGTTAAGGTTTAGGGTTTGAGTTAAATGTACACCTTAAACTTCCTGAGTTCTTTTCAGTAGTTTGTTTGACAATGTTTCACTTCTGAATTGCATATTCACAATATGCAGGAATTGCTGAAATAAAAGATGTGCTAACATTCCGGCGACCAAAAATTACCATGACAATCGATAAATACTAATTATATGTGTATGCGAGAAACGATGATGCTGAAGTTCTATGAAGTTTAAACTGTATATTCAACACAAAGTAAAAGTTCCCCAAGGTTTTTAAGGAAAAAAAAACTGCTAAAACCTTATATATTTACAATGACAGAAAACTATGATGCTGTTTGAGCATCTAATGGAAATAAATTCACTCCAAATGACATGGGAGACGGTACTGGATGATTTTATTTCCATGTGATTATCAAACACCCCCTTGCAAAAGTCTATATGGAACTCTATTATAATTACTATTATGTAAAAATTACTTGGTTTCAAGAACCAAGAGCAACCTCCTTGAGTCGATTCAGATCACTTAGATACCTTGTTGAGTTGTATTCTTGTGCATCTAAGAGATGTTCGGAGTAACTTCTTCGGAGGGTGCCTTTGTGACATTCTTTTGCACATTGTGCAGCAGATTCATCACCTCTTAGTAGTATCACAACCTGCAGCGACAACAACAAAAGAACATTAATCAATTGGCCGTCCGATAATGTTTTCATTGACTTTTATAAGATTTGAGCATCCTTACTGCAGAACAAGGTGAACTTATAGGAAATAAGGATGAATGACCTCCCGGTAACCACTATAGAGTCATAATGAGAAAATTCGATATTTTCAAATAACGCTTCTCAATATAAAATGTTACTGAGAACAGAAATTATTGGAAATGCAAAATCAGGCTTTTCCATATCAGATCATATTCTTCCCTGAATTAAAGTTTGCTTGTCTTCTCTTTATAATGCAGCACAAGCACAGTGAGGAGTCACATTGGCATTCCAACCGGAGATATTGACACAATTTTTGTTACTTTTCTCTCAAACAGGAGGAATGAATGGTGAATTCCCTATTTAAGGAAATCAATTATATAGTAATGTTGCATTCATACTTTTCTCCTGGTTTTACAATTTTCTTGGTTCCCATTCTCAGGGCACCATAATCATTTCACTATTAAGCAAACAGATCTATCGATGAAACATCTTTAAATTTATCCAAATTAGTTACTGCAATGTTGCTATGGATGTAACAAACAAGGAATGCAAGTAAACTTGCCTGACTCATTCTTGGACGGAGAATAGGAGACTGCTCAATGCACAAGGAAGCAGTCAAAACAACACGATCCATCTCGTCACGGTCATAATTATTACAAAGAGAAGGATCTACTAGCTCCCTAATGTCATTGTTATCAAGTAAAGGCTTTGCCTGCAAGGGAGATATGACGAATCAGGCAGGTTAGTATTTCTAACATAGGACAACCTTACAAATAAACAAAGTGTGTGGAAGTCAAATTACCCATATCACAACACTTTGCTGTAAATGGTCCACAGCTCGTCGTCCAGTTATGAGCTCCAAAAGCAGGACCCCGAATGCATATACATCAGTTTTCTCATCAACCACGCCATGCATGAAGTACTCAGGAGCAAAATAGCTACAATTCAAGGGAAATGATACTAGATAATTACTTCATTAAAACCAAACAAAAAACTTATAGGCTTACGTACCCGAATGTGCCTTCAAATTTTGATACATTGTGGTGAGTCCACTGTCTCGGAAGCCACTTTGCAAGCCCGAAATCACATATCTGAATTGGCTCAGAAATTAAAAAACAAAGAACGAGAAGCATTAAAAATACAAACTTATGACAAGGCAACTTAAAATTCACATATAGGATTGCAAGAGAACTAGCATCAAAATCTTTAACATATATATGACATAAATTTTCAACAATTGGGAAGATATATTGCTATTAATGCCGGTAGACCTTAACTGCATACCTCATAAAGCATGAAACCATTGCACAAGTTCAGGGAAATCACATTACTTACCTATTTTCCTTTTACACACATTTACATCTAGGTCTTACTAGGATTTTTAATAAGAAACATCTAATCTGGTATCGTTAAAAATCGTAGAAACAAAGTACTATCTGTAAATCTTTCACAGCTGTTAGAATGCATGCGACTGCATGCTGAGCTCCAAGCGAACGAAGTAACAACATTGCTATAAGTTAGTAGATCTTCCTTCAATGTGAAGCTTATGAGACAACGTAGGGCCATGAGACGTAAATACTCCAGACAGCGTACTCCAGTATTTCATGCTTGTAAAACTTCGTAATGCTCACCTTTCAAAAGATTGAAGCATAGTATACAGTGACTTTTTGGCCATTTATTTGGAATCAACAAATGAATGAGCAACTTTTTAAGTTAAGTGGTCCAATTAATTAGGGAGAATCAATATTGTCTTTTTCGGGAGCAATTTATTCTTCCTGAACGCATCTTACAACTCTGTTGTATTGTGCCTCCAAGTGTGCTTGTTCCCTCTTCTTCCTTGCCATGGCCAATATTTATCAAGTAACTCCGATGAGAAGACAGAAGGTGTTAAATGACCCTCTTGACCCAACTCTATACAATATAAGATCCTTATCAGACCAGTTCCCCTTTTGAGTCAAGAGATGGACCCGTAGACACATCTTATTGCACCGATTGGGGACATGCATAGCAACTAAGGGAGTCAAGACCAAGAAGTGAGTTATTCATCAGCCAAGCATTCTTGTTTCCTACAGTAGCTTTGAACATTAATGTATCTTGAAAGCAACAATTTTGACTTCCAAAGTTACTTTTTCATACTGCTATTCTGGCAAGTACGTATCTTTTAGCATGTAACAAAATCTATATCTACGTCTCTCAAGGGAATTTTTTCCACTCATAAACTAATTACAGGCTGGTTACCTGATCATACACCTCATAAGAATGAAACATAAATAGAATCAGGAATTGAGAATATTGCATGTATTCAAAGAACTAAGAAAAATATCCAATTCAGCTCTTCTTCAGATAATAAGCTATTCTTCCTGATTTAGCGGCCTTGATTCTGCATTTTGATATATGTAGTATAGACACTTCTGACATTTACAAAACAAAGTTGCGTCAGAAGAGTACTTGGAATGCTCTTACCATGACTTTACAGCCCTAGTTCATATTTGTGTTTCAAATAGAAAATATTTTAGTATACTTATTGCTACTCTAATAACCTAACTAGCCAAGAAATTCCTTTCAGGATCCAAGAAAAGATTTCTAGCTCCCCCCTTGGATCCTTAATGAACCTAATAAAGATCTTCACATGTATTGTGATGCAAACAATCTAGGCATCGGCCCCTAGCCAGTGAGGATCCACCTCGTTATGAAGGTGGCCAGCTTGGTCAAACACTGCAATCCTTGCTTACTAGAGCGTACAGTCCTTGATAACATCCTTATGCTCAAACTTCTCCTTTCGGCAACTACAAGCAGCCCCGAGACCTTTGCATTTGTGGAAACTTCGTGATAGAAAGATGATAGTTGGAACCTAATCTTGCCCAACCAGAATGTTATGGGCATACACTTCATCTTACTAAAGTTTACAGTTCATGGTTATATGTTTAGCATCCCCGCTAGGCTCAACTTTAACATGTTATTTCACAACCTAGAAGATAGTAGATTCACAGTAACCAACAATGAATCCTCACTGCATAACTCCTTTGTTTTAGAAGTTTAAGTATATAAATAAATCTTCAATAGTTTTATGCTGCTCGGTTGTGGCAGGCAAGGCCTGACCTAATAGCTAGCACAACATTCAACTTACGTGAAGGCCAATACCATCACTACCACTTCATGTCCTTGATCAAAAGAGTGGTGCTAGGCTTAGTTCTCAATCAGTTCCAAAGCTAATATCCATAAACAAGTTGAGCATATCAAGAACGTATGACTGACAAAACGGAATTTACATCACCGGACAACCATCTTCCTATGTCCCGAGAGATTAACTAAGCTAAAATCAGCAGAATTTGGCACAGGACTGGAAATATCAAAATAAATGAATCTAATTCCGTTTTTAACATGATTGCTATGCTAAATTACTACACATTTTATAGGATTTCTTTTTTTAGAACTCTGCTGTGTTTCTGGTAACTTGGAAAGAGATGCCTAATAAAAATATACGTTTCAAGGGACTCTGAAAACAATTAAAATTACCATTATTGTAAAGGAAGCTCTGGAAAAATGACAGCTAGGTACAACGGACTAAAAGTGAAAGCATATATAGACTTGAGGTATATGTACAGAAACAGAGCCAAGTATAAATTCAATGGACTACAAGTTCACAAAGTTTTCCACTCTGCTTTGCATATTAAGAAACTATTTTCACAAAACAAACTACAAAAATTCAAAAATTTCAGCAATAACTGAAGTGTTACTGTTTGATCATTCTCGGCTGTGGAACTTGAAAGATACCTGAGGTTCAAAATCCTCTGTAAGCAAAATATTATCAGCCTTGATATCTCTGTGAATAATCCGCTTCTCGCAACTCTCATGAAGATATGTTAGACCATCTGCTGTCCCCAGAGCTATTTTATATCTTTTACTCCAGTCTAGTTTATCCTTTGAACCTGGAAAAAGCATATAAAAACACTTGAAAAACACATGCATGTGAGAATTCAAGGTCAAGAAGCTAAAAAATGTTAAGAGCAAACCATGAAGAAGAGATCCTAAACTCCCCAATGGAGATAACTGGAAAACAAGATGCATTCCATCGCTGTCACACCCAATCAACTTAGCAGTATTTGGATGGTCCACATACGCTATAATACCAATCTCACAGAGAAAGCCACTTGTTCTCTCAGATTCTGTTCCTTTAGTAAGTCTCTTTACTGCTACCAGTCTTCCATTTGGCAAACAACCCTTGTAAACTTCAGCATAGCCACCCCTTCCAATCATATTTTCTACAGGAATTCGAACGAGTAATCTACATCACTGGATCAAGATGATAATAACAATTTCGCTTGATGCATCAATGTATAACTTCATTGTTCAAGCAGGTGATTTGCCATCATTAATTACTTCATTCTGCTATGTAACTAAATAATGTAAGCTGACATCAAAGGAAGGTAATTCTAAATGCCCCCCCAAAAAAAAAAAATTACAGACCTTTACTAAAATTGTTAGTTGCAATTTGGAGCTCAGAGAGGGTGAACTCCTTCAATGAAGATTTGTACTCGTATATATGTGTCATCTCGTGGTCTTCTTCTCTAGTGCTCCTATTCTTTCTTCGGCATGTCATTGCCATGGGAAGAGGAGGGAATGTAGCTAAGCGCTTAATTGAACGTCTTTTCCATGACTTGAAGAATTTTCTCCAGTTAGTAGAAGCCTGTGTTTTTGAACAAAGGATGTCTGATTCTGAGCTGCTATCTTTGGAGGAAACTGTATCAGATTCTGAGCCTTTAAGGCAAGCTTCTAAAACTCCTTTAGGAGATGATACATCTTGTCTCTCCTTTTCCATGTTTGAACATCTCAAGTCTACAAAATAGCAAACCAAAACACAATGAAAGAAGAAACCAAGCATGTCTGGACACACATGTAAAGAGATGTGACACATAAAGGATCATACAACAAGAAGAGACGAAAAAACACTTACCATGGGCTGAAGCGGAGGAAGGAATGGTAGATTGTTTCTTATGTTTTACTGGAAAGACCTCATCTTGAGAGGTTTTTTCAGTAGTGTCAGCAGAATCCTTAACATTCTCCCTGAGTAAAAAAGTATGCCAATGTTGCCAAAGAATGTACAATTAGCCAAAGAAAAGAAACCATCAGACTGTTAATGTTAGCATGTTTTAGTGCACACGTGCTTGTGTGTGAGAGAGAGAAAGAGAGACAGAGATTTCTCCTTGGCGAAGGAATAAACAGCTTGAGGGATAATTCATATATTACAATATCAAAGTAGAAACTTCAGTGCAAAAATCTATTTGTTTGATACAGAACAGAGGAAAAGACAAATAAGGGAACAACTCGACAAATAAGGGAACAACACCAAGACTAGTGTATTGGATGATTATGCATACAAGTTAGAATGTCGGCAGAGAAGAAATCCTAAACACAATTTATTTTAGTCCAAAAGGGAAAAAAAGCTGGACTAACGGAAATAAAAATATAATCATAAAAGGGGAATTAGACTCACTTTAAACAAAACTTAAAAGTTAATTACTAACAAATATCACATAGAAGGAAAGAACTGATATCCCCAGCATATGTATAAACAACATTACCAAAATTCACTTACAACACTCAGATTAAGAAAGAATGAACGAAATCTATAAATAACATGATAGACAATAACAAGAGTTAAAAACTCTAAATCTTCTCTCTTATTTTAAGCATTATTGAAAAAAATTGCCATATCCATTCACCATATTTCAGAACATATCAACATGGAATCACACACAAGTTCATAGTATTAAACAAAAACTAATCCACCCATAACCTTACACTAAATGAACACCTAGAAAAAAATACGAAGAAAATCAAGAAATACCCAAATAAGAAAACTTGAAGATAACACAACCCATTTGTATATTAATCCTTAACAATCCAAGAACTTTAAAATCCCAAATATTTCAAAAAATAAAAAAAGGAAAAAAACAAAACCCATATGGCTAAAGTTATAATACATTGCGAAGAGAGACATGCATAAAAAGTAAAGCAGACCCAGACGAGAAAACATGAAGAAGAATAAAACCATACCATGAGCATGAGGTAGCAGCTTTACCACTAATGGTTGCCATGAACCAGAAGAATACTCACAGAAGAAGAGAAAAACCCAACCAAACAAAACCAGACCAAACGGGAAAACAAAACAAGAGACAATATGATAGTGATAGAGAAATAATGAAGAAAGATAACAAGACAAGAAAAATTAATTAAAGCACAAACCTAGAACAGTAAGTTACCATACATGCATTAAAGAGGCTGCAACTTTTATCATATTTTGACTGAATTTCTGCAGCTAAAAACTCGGTTCAATAACATATGGAGAGTCAAAAAAGGGAATCCAGAAGCAAAATACTAAATATGGGAAACTTTCATTAACTGCTCTTCTTCAATGCTAAATGTAAATGAAAACAAAAGAAGAAAAAATTCAAAAAATAAAAACCAAAATAGTGATAAAAAAAAAAAAAAAAAATAAAAACTTTGCGTTGTGTAATGCAATGTACGGACACCTTTTTTGTCTTTCTTACAGCACGAGTCCCGTAAATGTCGCTGGTTCGGTCTAGTGTGTTAGTGACAAGTGTTCAACGCTCTTCAGCGACTTCTGCTCTCAACCTTAAAACCACATTTAAACACACTCAGGCTCAGTTGAGGAGAGAGACACTGTGAACGTTACTGTTGGTGGGTTTTATTTATTACAAAGTTGGTGTACTTTTCAGCAACTTTAATCATCCTTTTGGGGTTTTTTTTGCAATTTATTAAATTTTTGTGCCAACTTCGTCATTTTTGTTTCTCACTTTTCATTGCTCAAATAACATTTTTTGGGTTTTTTTTTTTCTTATTTATAGGTTGAAAGAACGAATTTAATGTCTATTAATTTTAGAGATATTGTGGTCGTTTTCATATTTATTCTCATATAAAATTATATGTCTTTAGAAAAAGTATTTAATAAATATATAATTATAAATAAAAATAAAATTATATGTCTTATTGGAAATTAAAATATGAATCTTATTAGAAATAGAATGTCTCAGTATCCTAATATAAGAACACAAGATATTTGATATAAGAGTTATTTAACAATATGGGCAAAGTGTCTTATAAGAAATTGAGATTGTTTCTGTTCTTCTAATTATGTATCAGGCTTATGATGTTATATATTTTTGGATATCGTGTTCATGAAACTATAATAAATTTCTCTCATCCGTGAATGTAAAAAAGTTATGTCGAACTATGTAAAATATCATGTCTCGTTGTGCAATATGATTTTATTTATATGTTATTAATCTCAAATGTATGTTTTCCAGTGTGCGATCTTCTGGGTAAATAATCTAATTTATGTGGACGAGAATAAGTAGAAATTTGAACTTTTTTTCCCATAAATTCTTTTAGACTTCTTTTTTAAGCTTTGAAGTATAGAATTGCCTATTTTATTGTTTGTGTTAAAAGCATTAATTGATTGACTTAAAGTGGCGAATTAATTAGTAGAATTGAGCTGTTATCAATAATAAGGTTTATTTAAGTTTATTTTATCCATTTTAATATAACTAATTAGCTATTAATAATGGTTTCAAAACATAATTAGTTAACATAGTAAGACTTTTTAGGTTAACAATTTTTTTTTCTTTATTTTAATTTCCTATTTACTTAAACTCAAAATGTATTGAGATATTTATATTTGCATTCATATCCCTGAAAATTTAGTTTTTGCTTTTACATCTCCAGAGTTAAATATTTCTTACATTTTAGCCCACCTAGGTAGCATTCTAGCTAGGTCTAGCCATCTTAGTCATTTCCAATCAAATATATTAAAAATTATCTATTAAGAAAATTAATACCACATCGTTGCATTGCATCTAAGTACATCTTAAATATAACAAGTATTTTATATGACTCTTTTTTTGTCTTTAATTTTTGCTTTTTTGTGTCGATTGAACGACAAAATTTTGAATTTACAATTTAATAATATTATGTATTCCAAATTTTAATTTTAATTATCATCGTAAAGATTATTTGTGACAAACTAAAAGCAAATAAAAGACAACCGATAGACGTAATAAAATATAGATAACGCAAATCTAACAATAGGGTTAAATTTAACCCACTATAATTAAGTCGTAAAATACTTAACGAGTATCACAAAACTTCTTAAAAAACATCGTAAACCTTTTTACAATTTTAGATTCTCATATACGAAAAGGTTTTTAATAAAAATTAATACATCTTATGAAAAACTTTAATTCACATAATCTATCTCCCTTAGATAGAAATTAAAATAATGTTTTGATGAATAAACTATACATTAGCGATAGTGTCAAGGAATTATATTACATTTACAACAAAAATAAACTATATTACATTGATTGTAACATGCTTATAGGGTCTTGACGAGAATTAGATAAGAATAGGAAACACTAGCTTTGCAATGACTGACAATTGACGAGAAATCAAGTGCTAGAGTGAGAGGGGTTTTGTAGAGAGGAGACTGGAGGTTCAAATGATGGCGACGGAGAGAATTTTCACTGTCGAAATTAGCTTTAGGTAGTAGGGGTGTTCAAAAGAACCGATTGAAACCGAAACCGAAGGGTATGCGGGATTTGGTTCCGGTTCCTACCCGGAACCGGCCATCAACGGGTAGATTTTGGTTCCAAATTTTTGGAACCGTTACTATGCAGTTCCGATTCTTATAGTTAGGAACCGAAACCGGGAACCGAGACTAATATAAAATAAAATTAAAGAGTAGGGGGTTAATAAAAACTTTTGTAGAAAAAATAATGTGAATACATTTATATTTATATTTCATAACATTTAAAGTAAATTGATTTAACTTTTGAGAATCTATCTTTACAAAGTAATAGAGTTTGTAATTTTGAATTTATAATTTATAATTTTATTTTTGTTAACAAGTTCCAGGTGGGGGGGTATTTGTAAGTTTTTAAGGGGTTTTTTGCCATTTAAAAAACTTTTGGGGGGTCATTGTAATTTTATAAGGTACCTAGAACCGGAATCGGAACCGAAACCGTTGTTACAGGTTCGGTTCCGATTCCAAATTTTAAGAAACCGTCGGTTCCGATTCTTTCAAAAAATGTAAGGTACTCGGAACCGAACACCCCTATTAGGTAGTAACGAAATATTAACTTTGGGTAAAAAAATGGTATTTTGAAAAAAAAATTGTGGAAAAGTGTCATTAAAGCAAACCTTGGATGAGAAAAAGTTCGTTTACTCATAAATAAATCATATTACAATAATGAGACTATAGATTAACATGTCAACACGATTACCCACATCTTTTTGCCAAGTGGTTGACATATGAGTATGAATCAAACCTCGCGCGTGACCTAAAATCTCGTATTATTCGTTTGATAATGTTATCGTATTAGTATTTGATCCGTTAAGTAAATTGTGATGGAAGAAAGGGTGATAATACATTAATTTGTGGAGGCATCCTTCACTAAATGTATATAGATGTTGGTTACTTATTATAGAATTGATTTTGTTTAAGATTGGCAGGTATAAATTGAAGTTGAAATTTGGACATATAATAAATGGGGGTGACATGAAAAATTGAAAATGCAGCATAATTTTTGCTGTTAGGTATGTTTATATTGTTAAATCAAAGTCAGATTTGTTCCCTCATGTTTGATTGGTGAGGGTTAAAGACACGTGGAGGGCATGGAATGGTAGAAGAAATAAATATTTTTATTATTGACAATTATTTAGCGAAAAATAAATATACTTTATTTATTTTATAAATAGAATTTATTCTAAAATTTTATAAAAATTAATATTATTTATTTATTTTTAATTTTTTTAATTTTAAGACATATATAACAATTATATATTATTTTTATTATTTTATCATATATTTTAAAACTCCATGCACCAAATGAAAGCCTTTGGGCCTTGGGCCGATAAGTAACTTTCTTAGAGCATAGGGGAATTGGGTAGAAGTCGGACATAACTGTAAGCGACAAATCAGATTTGAGTTCTTGAATGACAAGTCGTACATGTATTTTACTATTTAGCGACATGTCATCTGCTAATGGAAAAATGAAAAACAATTTTTTTTTAGGTAACTGAGGTATCCATGCTTGCGTTAGAGCCTGTCTAATCCTCAAGGCCACGGAATATCCTACAAGCTCAATGGCCTATATTGGAGTCTAATTCTTAGGGTCAGTGGCGGATCCAGGAATTTCACTTGATGGGGGCAAAAAATAAACAAAAAAAATTTGTGGGGGCAAAATGCAAAGTCTTATAGGGGGTAAAATGCAACTAAATATAAATATTTATACAATCGGAAGTTTTTTAAAGTTTGAGTGGGGGCCGTGGCCCCCACTCGTCATTAAGTAAATCCGCCACTGCTTAGGGTCATGGAACACCCTACAAGCTCAATGGCTCACATTAGAGTCTATCTAATCCTCAGAGTCACGGGACACCCTGCAAACCCAATAGATAAAGGTAATTACACAAATATGGTAGATACCTACCTTGCGACTCGAACATAGGATCCCTTGAGTATAACTAACCCTAGTGGCTAAAAAGTTTGTCAATCGGCCACAAGGGAAGAGGTCAAAATAACAATTTAGTGGCAATTAAGAATGTTAAGGTTGAAAATGAATGCTTAGGTTATTAAATCCAAACCTATTTATTTCAAATGTAAGAGGAAAAGAATTTATCTTGACAATTGAGTACTTCACCTTCTTAGACTGCAGTATTTTGCCCTTCAAGAGTGACATGGCGTGTAATGGTTTTGAAGTTAAACGACAAGTAGGTAACATTTGTTATTTTTGATGATTGCAGATTGCATGTAATTTATGATTGAACGACATGTTCCTCACTTGTTCTGAAAGTAAGTGACAAGTCGTTCTATGTTCAATCCCTCCAGAGAATGCCCCTGCCACAGCCCACAAGAAGACACATTCTGAAAAAGTTTTTTTTTGTAGTGGAAAGAAATAGTCTCACATTTGACAAATTATGCAACATCTTTCCACTAGTAGAGTTTGAATCTCTGTGATCTTGACATGTGGCAAATGTCCAATCATATAACACCAAATAGAACATGGGACCCTCTTCAAAATTTTCTGACATAATTATTATGTATTAATCTACATGATATTAGTCATAAGGAATATTCTGTCTTTCCTTTAATAAATTCTGTTGAAGAAGACCAGTTCAAAGATTCGGTTGCTGTTGATTCACTAACTGCCAATACCGGCGGCAATGCTAAGACTTTGAGTGAGTAATAAGAGCTAGCTAATGGTTTTACAATACCATGATAACTGTTCTCTAATCTCTCTGTCTCCTTTGTTTTATATGAACCTCAATTATGTTGGGAATCAGTTGAGCTGAGTTTTTCTTCAGTACTTTCAGGAAGTTATTATTATGGTTCTCAAATCCTGTCAAATCTTCCCACTAAAATGTCACTGTTTCTAACCTTTCTCCTTGTTTCAGGATTATGTTTATCATTTTCTACGTTCGGTAATTCAATTTCTAATGGTGACAGATTCTCTAATGGCGGCCTTGTTGAAGCCTCCTGTCCATTGGACTTTGATGTTCTCAGAAGATTAATGAGCCAAGGCCCTTCAAGGCCTATGTTTATCGACATGCCGACGCCATGTCAAAGCATTCTTCAA